TGGCTGATTCCAGGAAGCTGGGGGCAGAGCAATTCTGCCTCCAGCTTCCTGTAGTCAGCCCCTGGTCAGTTTCAGCAGCAGCGGCTGAATCTGGAGCCAGTTCCGACTTACATACAAATTCAACTTAAGAACAAACCTATAGTCCCTATCTTGTATGTAACCCGGGGTCTGCCTGTATTGCAGTAAGACTTGTTCAACTCAGTTTGGCATCCTTACCCCATTTATACTCATGTCTGTGTCATGAAAGCACAATATTAAATGCTGTACAATAATTTTATTACTCTGCTATATGGTTAAGAAGACTTACTATGTAAATTGTAATAGCCAGATTTTAAATCATTTTCATACAATGTAAAGGTTTCCTGGAAAGGTGAGTGAAACTCTTGAGTGCACTCTGCCAATTCTTAATTGTGCTTTAAAAAGGAGGGTGCAATTGAAAGAGATCATTTGCAATAATGATACAATCAATCCACAGGATTTATCCAAAAAGTTGATCCACTTCCAATGGGAGTTGATGGAAACTAAAGGTTTTCGTGTTAGACAAAGATGTACGCACTTCATTTATAATTTTGTCTTGGCGCCAAGGCACCAGAACTTTTTTGCCTCTCAAGTGGTACTTTTATGGTACAGGGTTTCAGTTTTAGGAGCTTGCTGTATGCATCTACTTGTTCGAGGCTCAATCCTATGAAACCCAGAGTACTCTGGCACTGATATTTACATTTAGGCATGTGCTTAAATGTTTTGCTATATCAGTGCCAAAGTGCTCAGCTACTTTCAAGGTTGAGTCCATGTTGCCTGAGATGACAACCTGTTGGGAGCTGCTAGCACGGTGCGGAAATGCCAGTCAGATGACTGACTCCTTGGCTGTGGCTGAAATTTCCTTTTTATGATCACTTTTTATCATCCCTTACACATCTAGTAAGGACAAAAATCTCTAGTTTACCATTAATTAGACAGTCTATTGCTCTGCAGAGGTAAAGTGTCTAAGCTAACAATATACAAAAGGTTAGTGACGGATTTTTTGTTAATTATAAAAACAACTTTGAGGTGTTTTTGTTGTTCCAATTGACCTTTTGAGATGCTCTTTAGTGTTTGACTATTGGATGGCATTGTGTTAGCGATCCAACCTTCCTAGAGCCTCCTCACCAGAAGGAATATGATGCTAGAAGAGCCACAAAGCTGTATTATAAATCTCCCAACCCCGGCAATAATAGTGCCCATTAGAGACACTTTTTTACCCTGCTCCGTTCCCGGCTGTACTAATAGAACAGAGCATCAAGCAAGGCTGTAAATAGAAGTTATTACCTAATAGGTGGGTGCTGAAGTGGAACGGACGGGAGCTGAGGCATAGAGGCCTTATTACTGCTCATCAGCAATTATAAACAGGATAAAGTGTCTGGGACTTGCACTGATGCAGGGAGGGCTAATAGAGGCTGGAAGATGACACTATACTATGATCGGATGATGTATGTTGATGGGTTTTTACTGCCTCATTTTGCTGCCTATTTCCGAGATGAGTTGTATTATCTGTTCCATACTCCCATATCTATCTGGATAGACAGATCAGTTTCTGCTCTTGCCAAAAGGTGGTCTCACGTTTGCTGCACATATACTTTGCATTAGTTTCAGAGAATGGTATCTAAGAGCATTTTGAAAACCCTTTTATGATTATTATAGATTAAGATACTAATTTTAAGTACTGTAATATGCGGGTAAACAGTTTGAAAGGCCCACTGCTGCAGTTTTAGGGTGTCATTTCAGCATCATCGTAAGAGTAGTCTTGTTTAATTTTGACCTACAAAACTGCTTCCTAAATTTTTGTGGCTGACTATCTGAGAATTTCATCTGAATCCTCTTCTATACTAAATGATGCCCTGTCTGGACCTAATTCATAACCAGTGTAGTTGAAGTCTACAAAGAAATTAGGTGTAGAAAATGATTCCCAGCATTAGTTTTAAAGTGCAAATAGCAGCTATCATCACCTGAGCGCTTGTCTACACAAACATTTAGTTCATGGTAAGCTGGGGTGTTTATACACCCCTGGCGTACCTATCACGTGCTAAGTATCCATTTGGTAGCTGTTGCCACCCGCTAAGGCTACGTCTACATGAAAAGTTTTCTTGGCAAAAAATATGCTAATGAGAGACTCATTTGCATGAGTTGCTATTTCTTTTTGCTCAAAAACACCTTTTTCCGCAAATCGGTAAACCTCTTTTTTTGGGGCACAAAGATCTTACAGTAAAAGGAGTTTTTCACAAAAAGAAAATCCACACTGCTTATTTTTGCGCAAAAATTCCAGCGCAAAAATGGATTGGCAGAAAATATGCAAATGAGATTGTGGCTTATGCAAATGAGTCCCTCATTAGCATATTTTTACCCAAAAAAACTCATCATGTAGATGTAGCCCAGAAGTTCCCCAGTGCTTTTTTGATCTACTCCCATTTCAAAGTGGGAAAGATCAAAGTGCACTAGAGAACTTTTAGTGAATGGCAGGCTACTGAGGGGTACGTTTATACCCAGCTCACTGCCAAATAAATTCTCAAATAAATGAGTGAGTGATACAGATTATCTTGCACGTGCACATGTATCTGGATAAGAAGACTTGGACATTACCCACTGGCCTTATACCTTATGTGAAGTAGGGATGTAAGCGACTAGACGACTAACTGATAAACAGGCTTATTGGGTGATCAACTCACTGCATGACTAGTTGCTTCCCCCCTATTTTCTCCCCATGCCTACCTCTGTATCAGAGACAGTAAGGAGGGGGAGCAG